ATGGCTCCCCCTCATCACTGATGAGGACATACTCCATGGAAGGGTACCTGCATGACTCTACCCTTGGCCTTTCTGATCTCCTCAGAGGTTGAGGCTGTTCTTCTCCCTGAGTGGGGCGATCCACTTGCTCGACATCATCATCAAGTTACTCCCCCTGCTCAATAACCTCACCAGGTTGCTCCTCCTGCTCGGCAACCTCGGCGGTCGTACTTTATGCACTTGTGGGATTGTTAGAAGAAGGAATAGTAACAAGGTTAGGAATAATACCATTCTTGGCCTTCTCTGGCATATCATCAGCAGTTCCAACTTCACTTTCTCGGAAGACTACATCTCTGCTTCTGATGACCTTCTTCTTTACGGGATCCCACAATCTGTATCTGAATTCTTCATTTTCATATCCGATGAATATGCAAGGAACAGATTTATCATCCAGCTTTGTTCTCTGCTCCTTTGGTATATGTGCAAAAGCTTTGCAAGCGAACACCTTCACATGCGAGTAGGACACCTCCTTGTTGGTCAAAACTCTCTCTGGGATGTCAAACGCCGACGGAACTGATGGACTCCTATTGATCAGGTAACAGGTTGTCTGAACTGCTTCACCTCAGAATGACTTAGGCAGTTTAGCCATTCTGAGCATGCTTCTCACCTTCTCCACAATGGTGCGGTTCATCCTTTCGGCTACGCCATTGTGTTGTGGGATTCCAGGAACTGTCTTTTCATGTCTAATCCCATAGTTCGAATAGTACTCTTCAAATTCCCTTAAAGTATACTCACCTCCATTGTCACTTCGGAGACGCTTTAACTTTTGGCTTGTCTCCCTTTCCACCATAGCATGAAACTTCTGGAAAACTTGAAACACCTGATCTTTGATTTTCAAAATATAAACCCATAATTTTCGTGAAGCATCATCAGTAAAAGTAACAAAATATTTGTTACCGCCCATCGATTTAATTTTCATTGGACCACAAATATCATAATATACCAAATCAACTATATTCAATTTTCTTTCAGACGATGTCTGAAATGAGACTCTATGCTGCTTACCAAATAAACAGTAGTCACAAGGTTTTACCGTTGTACCTTTGGCATAAGAAATGAGTGATTTCTTGGCAAGAATCTGCAATCCCTTCTCGCTCATATGACCCATTCTTTTGTGCCACAAATCTGCAAAAATCTCATCTTGTGCCGCGTTCAATTCACCTTGGCATATTTCTACATTTGTCATGTACAACGTGGCATGAGCAACTCCTTTTGCAATTACCAATGATCCCTTGGTGAGTCTCCACTTTTGATTTGCAAAATAGTTCTCGTATCTATCTCGGTCTAAAGCAATTCCCGAGATCAAGTTCATCCGCAAATCAGGTACATGTCGCACGTCCTTCAGAACTAATGTGCATCCGACATTTGTCTTGATACAAATGTCACAAATCCCCGCAATCTTTGAGTAACTTATGTTACCCATTCTAACAAAGCCGAAATCACTTGTTACATATCGCAAAAAGATCTCTTACCGGTGTGGCATGGTAAGATGCTGCTTTATCAACCACCTATTCCGACTCTGGACCTGATAAGTGCATGCATTCTTCTTCCTCGTTTATACAGAGGACAACATTATCATTATTTTGCACCATGGCGGCTGTATTGTCGTCATTCTTCTGGCCACTAATTCCACCTTTGCCCTTCCTTAGATTTGGGTAATCTCTTTTGAAGTGACCTGGTTGATCACAATTGTAGCAATTTATAGCTCTTGATTTGGATCGGTTCTTAGACTTCCCACGAGCTCCGGATCTACCATAGTTGCTCGAACTCTTTTGATAACTCCTGCCTCTACCTTCTGTGATGAGAGCATGTCCTTGATTTTTAGGCTTATTTCTCATTTTCTCATTGAGTAAAAGAGCCGATGTGACATCTTTCAACTCAATGGTAGTCTTACCGTGCAGGATGGTTGTTGCCAGATTATCGTACGAAGATGGCAACGAGTTCAAATGCCACGTACGGTGTCTTCATCAATGATGTTATTTACCACATCATCTGATAAGTGCAACTTGATTGCACTAGCAGCCCTTTCATCCAAGTTAGCCCAATCCTCAGCTTTCATGGTATCAAGTATTTTGGCATCAACATCTAATACCTTGTGTAATCCTTGTTGGATGAGCAGATCTCTCATCCTTCTTTGCCATGTTGAGAAACCGCTATCTCCGTTAAATTTTGCTACCTCGTACTTTACTCCGGACATTTTTATTTTTCACCGAGTATAGTACTACCGACAGTGAATAGTATTTCTGTGAACGAGCAGAACATGTGCTTTGATACCAGTTATTGGGATTAAACCCCCACAGAAATAATATTCACGGTACTAAAAGCGGAAAAATAATATAACACCGAGATATTGTAATTAACAAGAATAAAAGAGTGACAACGACACCAAGATTTTTACGCGGAAAACCCTTTTGAATAAAGGAAAAAACTACGGTCCCGAGACGAGCAACTAATATCACTATAGCAAGGAATTTTACACTGTATAGATCCGAGTAAAATACTCCAAAGACCACTACAACACTCAAAAGAAATAACACTCTTTTGATATTCCCACCTCACTATAATATCACTCACTCTCTATTTTCTTCTATACAGTCTATTTCTCACAATGCGTGAGAAATACTCTCTGCAACTATTGTGTTGCTTCTCTTTTTGTGTGGTGAAATGAAGAAGCCGAAGCTCTCCTTTATATAAGAGAAATAGCCTACCTCTTCAACCAATCAGAATGAAGGATTGGTTGAAAATTTGCAATGCAAATTTTTTCTTTCTTCCGCCTAACAATTTGACATTTTCCTTCTGCAGCCTACCATATTTGACAATGCAAAAGAAAAGATGGCTGCCAATCAAAGAAAGAAAGTTATCTTTCTTAATTTATGGGATGGACTCCGTAGAATATCTATGGATGGCATCACCATCGGTAATTTTTGAAATGCACCTATCTTTTCTACCTCATGCGTCAACTTTTCCTACAAGAAAATGAGAAATCCCTTCTAATTTTCATGTAAACATAAAAGAAACAGTGCATCCATAAGCAAAGTCTATATTCATACTCTCTCCGTCCCAGTTTATATGATAGTATTTCCTTTTAGTCTATGCAAAAAGGATGACAGTTTTTCATATAAGATGATTTATAACCACATAAATATCTATAGCTTGTGTTAGACATAGTTCCGTGCTCAGTCAAACAACATTGAATAAATTGAGACAAAGAGAGTAATAAGTAGCCAACTCTAAAAACTAATTCCTCTAATAATAGAGTTCCAAAACTGAGATTAAAGGAGAAGATATACCTTTTTTTCCTTGTTGGTCATGTGGATTTGATACTACATAGTTTCCTTTCACAATTTCATAAGTTGTAGTCTGCATTTGCTTACAGAAGCATGACATTGGATACAATACACGCACAGGCACCAAGTACAGACCTGCAAACAACAACAACACATTCGAATATTTCTCTAATTTATTATTTCAAAGATAACAATACGAAGTAACTATTGGGATTTTTCACAAATGAAGTTTAACAAAAATAAAAAGGAGTACCTTTACAGAGCTTAGAACGTCCAGAAAACAGTGATGAGGAAGGAACTTGTTGAAAAAAACTTGAAGTTCTGCTCATTTCTCTCTCTCAGAGAACTAAAGGTCGTTCAGTGAATCATCTAGGATGTGTCAAAGCGGGGGAGAAAGGGAATAGCACGTGAAACTGTAAAAGTACTAATAACTTAAAAGAACTGTGTCTCGGTCCTACGCAAAGATTACATGTGAAGGTACTAATAACTTAAAAGAACGCCAATTTCCCAAAATAATCCCACAACCCAAAATTTACCTTTACTTCCTAAAGCATCACCTCTGTTTTAAAAGACAGAATTGGGACTAGTCCGGGGTTTGCCATGGAGCAGAGCACTCGTAAAACATCTATGGGTTTATATGTGGGATTTAGTTCCGTGAAACTTACGCTTCGGCCGTCGGGGCTTATGCCCCAGACCCGCTCAACGCTTAATATACTGGGCACGCCTAATAGAACTTTATGCTATTGTGTGTAACTAACCTTGTAAATTCTCAAATTTTCTTAATAAATCGTTGACTATTCAAAATTACTTTTTTCTTAATCATAAATCATTAAGTTGAAAATATTTTATGTCATAGTTAAAATAAAAATTATTGCACGTTATCCACTAAGACTGCTATGATAGTAAATTTTAAATAAATCTTTCATTTAAAAGGTATTTATTTATTAACTTTTGTTATGTCTTTATTATACAATAGTCCATAATTTTTTTATAATTATTTTCTTAAATATTATTTTTTTCACGTTTACGAGATACAATACTTATTAATTTAATAGCTCAGTATTAGCTAGTAACTATTTACAAATAATTAGTTATCATGGTATAATATGGCGAATTATGTCACTTTATTAACTTATTGAAACTTAAAAATAAATGATGCTAGAGAATCAAATTTAAATTGTGAATTATGTTTTTACATAAATTCTTTTTCAAACAGAAAGCATATTAAATAAAAGGAGTATTTAAAAAAAATCAAATTATAATATCGAAATTCTTTCAAGATACATATAAGATTTTATATCGAATATATTACTTTTTATGTTTGAGTTGTAACGACGTTGTAGTTAATTTGCATATTATGATATATGTCATACTTTTCGTATTATTCATAGTTGAATTATAATTTATAAATATTTTAAATAGATTATTTTTTATAATTTTATAATTTTAATGTAATTTTTATAAATATTTTATATTTTATACTATCTTAAAATTTTTAAAATTAATAAAATTTAAAGATCAGTGGACATATGTCAGGCTTACCCCTCGCCTCGCCTCGCCCCCGCCTTTTAAAACATTGAGCTTCACAGCAAAACATCAATTTTTTTTATCAAAATAGCCCTGAACACCCTAAGCTGATAAACTTCTCTCGTTATTTATTATTTATAAAGGGAAAAACCGAAAAGGAAATATTCTGTAGTTGGATTATGATGCGATTGAAGTGTCCTCCCTCTCAAAGCCTTTACCAATAAAGCTTCCTTGTGCACTCTCTCTCCCTCCTAACAAGCGATAAAAATGTTGATGAGTAGCATCTTCAGTTCCATTCATCTCAAAACCTCTTCTTTCTTCCCAACCCCACTTCCCACCAATCACCAAAATCCTTTCCCCCTCACTTTCTCCTTCAAACCCAATTCCCCAATTGCCCCCATCAAATGGCACATAAGTTCCTGTGCAGCTGGTCAAGAAATCGACATGGAACGAACCAAAGAAGGACTATACACAGCAAAACCCAAAAAAGTCGTAATCTTGTGGGACTTAGACAACAAACCGCCACGTGGACCGCCGTACGAAGCTGCCATGTCATTGAAAAAAGTAGCACAATTCTTTGGTGAAGTGGTAGATATGTCTGCATATGCCAATCGCCATGCTTTCATCCATCTTCCTCAGTGGGTTGCTGAACAAAGGCGCGAAAGGCGCCATCTTGATGTTCTCGAACGTAAAGGTGCTGTAACCCCTTCTGAACCTTACATTTGTTCTGTTTGTGGCCGAAAATGTAAGACTAACTTGGATTTAAAGAAGCATTTTAAGCAGTTACATGAGAGAGAAAGGCAAAAAAAGCTCTCTCGTATGAGGTCACTTAAAGGGAAAAAAAGGCAGAAGTTTAAAGAGAGGCATGTTGATGGTAATTACAAGTATATAGAGGCTGCTAGGAGTTTGATAACACCAAAAGTGGGGTATGGTTTAGCAGCTGAGTTGAGGAGAGCTGGGGTTTTTGTAAAGACTGTGGCGGATAAGCCACAGGCTGCAGATTGGGCATTGAAAAAGCAAATGCAGCATTCAATGACTAGAGGGATTGATTGGTTGTTTTTGGTTTCTGATGATTCAGATTTTTGTGATATGTTGAGGAGAGCAAAGGAAGCAAATTTGGGAACTGTGGTAGTTGGGGATATGGACAGGGCATTGGGGAGGCATGCTGATTTATGGATTCCTTGGAATGGGGTAGAGAATGGCGAGATAAAGGAGAAGGATTTAGTGTTAAAGCTTGAGAGGAGGAGGGAGTCTTGGGGTAGGAGTAATGCGCGGTTTTCTGTGAGTGAGTTTGATGGTGGGATAAGTGGGGAGGGTACTAGTGTAGGAACTTTGATGGANGTTTGATGGATGATATTGTTGAGAAGTTGGAGCTTTCTGGCACGAGGATTTCAGCTTTCTCTGAAGGGGAGGAGGATGAAGATGTTGAGGAGCTGGATGAGGAAGACTGGCTTCGTGCAAGATTGGATCAACCAGGTGATGACAAATATGATACAGAAGACTCCTTATTGGATAGCGAGGATGAGGAGGGGGACTACTTATTGGATAGTGATGACGAAGATACAGGCCAGATGGTATAAATTGATGATGAAAGCAATAAGAGAAAAAGCACTTTGGCATTGCTTTGTCGAAAGATTTATAGGAATTGTTTGAGATAAGGAGTATGCTCTGTAAAAATGAGGTAGAATGAAAGGTTGCTAGAGCAATTTGACATATTGACCGAGTATGTCTCTGGCAGTTCAGCTATCTTCGAGCATGTCGAGGTAATACAGATGTAACCTGACTTTCTCTTTCAGAAGGATCCAAAACTGTTACTTGGTTATCAAAGTATTGCTTTGAAAGTTTACTGTGCCTGTATTCTCTTTCACAAACTTTCTACAAGGTCAAGGTGTGCTTCTCGCTTATGGGAACATTCCCATTGATTCGAATATAATACATGACAAATTCCTTTTTTTGGACTTTTCTCCAAATTTCTTTTGGAGCTCTGGATTATTTGTGATATTGTCATCTGATAAAGCTCTGAGTTATTACTTCTTTATCTTTCTGCTATGTGTATGGCATATACATGACTAATATTAGTTGTTTTTGGGGTAACTCTTCTGAACCTGTTTTTACCTGCTCATCTTTTTGAGGCAGTCAAGTATCAGCACACGGGGGTTCTTCTACATATTAGATGTGGAAATTTCTGCTGCATTCAATGTTGCTCTGTGGTTTGGTGAATAAATATACCAGATAAAAGAGTGAATCTGGAATTTCTTTTAACTAATTCAACTCTTTGCTTTTCTCATTTCTAGTAAAATAAGTATCGATAATGTCAATACATTTCCTCAACTGAGAGAAAAATTTGCTCTCAAAGACAACTGCAATCAGTACTAGTTGACAGAAGTAATCGAAAACAAAGAATAGTTAATAAGATGTCATGTTCCATGGTATTGGCAATAAAATTGAGGATGACAGGGAGCAGTAAATGGAGATTTTTATATGCCAAAGAACCACCGCTTGGAGTACAGAACTGATTTTTCTACTATTTAGAAGCGACAGTTAAGGGCCTCTTCATCGTCCTAATTCCGGAAATTACGGTAAAGTCCTTTTCGTTGTCTTGTTGGGCTATTGATATTGCATCAACTTTGGGGTAATTTGGTATTTTTGTCATATTTTACACAGCCGCTTTCTGCGACATTAAAACCTTCTGCTGAATTCTCCCACTCTCTGTCCTATTGGCACGCGCCTCTCTTTGGTTACTGATGTGGAAGCTAAATCTGCTTTTGGCGATGTGTAGCTCTGCAACACCAGCACTTTGATGGGCATGTGTAGCGTACTTCTGGCGTTAACCTTTAACCCTTGAAGCCAGTTCACTTTTGCTGTCCTTTTTTCTGCATATTTGATCTTTACCCTCAGGTTTATATCAGACAGTTTACCGGGCTGCTTAGCTGTGACCGCCCAATAAATTTTGGAACATGCTCTGTTTTGCTTTGGTCTCTGCTTTTCTGCTATCCATGTTATCGTCTCTGTGCCCGCTTGCTGATAGGTCAGCTCTAGCCTTCGTCTTTCATCTCCTCCTTTAAATTTGTGTGTCTGCTTTGATGGACTGCAAAGGATTAGGAAAGGGTTTTGGTTTGATTTCCAGAAACCAATAGATCTAAAAGCTTCTGCTTATGGATTTCACGAAGAGTTTTTGAAAAGCTCTTCTAGACATTTTACAATGTTTACTTCTCTATTTTTCTTATTCCAACTTTAGGCTTCTTTTAGGTCCTTGTAGTCTTTATGATAAAAAAAAAGTTAAATTAGTGAAAATACTGGGTAAAGCTTACGTGTTTACAATGAATAAATCTTTTGTTAAGGAGTAAATCATCCTTGATCGTTATTAGTCAGGACCCTTTTAAGTCAATCATGAACATGAATTAACAGGATTATAAGATAAAGCACCACTTGAATCGCTGAAAGTAAAAAGAATAACAGGAAAAGAACCTTTTCTATTCCTTACATTGCTTTAGGAAGGAAGATGTACCCCTACCACTAGAAATTAATTTAAATTTATAGCTGTCTATATCGCACTAGACAAAGATCAACTTCCTTTGAACTCACAAAAAATAAACAATATAAATACAGTCCACATGCATACAGATATTGCTATGGCTCTTCTGTATAGCTGTACATGAGTTTGGACAAGATATCATTTATCAGTTCCATTGGTTTTGCCGTAATGCCAAACTGGTGGTATATGCAGCCTAAGGACAAGAACAATTATACAATTGATCCAGACAGGCTTGAGTTGAGTTGTCAGGCATTTTCTATCTGATCACTGCACTAATATTATATGGTTATTTAATTCCTATTTCCCTCTATGTTTCTATTGAAGTAGTGAAGGTCCTACAGGCATTGTTCATAAACCAGGATATTACGTAATATGTACGCTGACAAGACAGGAACTCCTGCTCAAGCACGGACATCAAACTTAAATGAGGAGTTGGGGCAGGTTGATACCATCCTCTCGGATAAAACTGGTACTTTGACATGCAACCAAATGGACTTCCTAAAATGCTCCATTGCTGGTACTGCATATGGAACACGAGCCAGTAATGTAGAACTTGAAGCTGCAAAGCAGATGGCAGAGGACCTTGGTGGGTAAGATGAAATTTCACAGACTGTCATTATAATTGAATTAGAGACGGTTGTCACTCCTAAAAATGAGATCAGGCCTGCAATAAAAGGGTTCCGCTTTGAGGATAGCCGACTTATGAAGGGGAATTTGATAGAGGAGCCAAATGCAGATGTCATCTTGCTATTTTTAGGATACTTTATCTTTGTCATAATGCGATTCCTGAGTTAAATGAGGAGACTTGCTGCTAAAATTATGAAGCAGAGTCTCCTGATGAAGCAACATTCCTTATTGCAGCTAGGGAATTTGGCTTTGAGTTCTGTGAAAGAACTCAATCAAGTATTTTTATACGGGAGAGATATCCTTCTTTTGAAGAGCCAAATGAAAGGTGATTCAGCCTCAATTATTGCCGGTTGTTTCAAGAATTACATTACCTTGTAGTATAATACCAACTTACTCCTGATCTGTTATCTTTAGGGAATTCAAAGTTCTCAATCTACTGGACTTCACCAGCATGCGGAAGAGAATGTCTGTTATTATTCGGGATGAGCGGGGCCAGATTCTTCTCTTGTGTAAAGGAGCAGACAGGTCTTTTTTTGACATTTTTTAAAGTTAGTCTCTATTTCGTATCTACTTCGTTATCCAGTGAAGTAGGTCATTGATGAGGCTATTGTGCTATAAAAGATGCTCTTAGCATGCCTGTAAATTCCAGTCGGCTTTTCTAATTATTACTGCCTCCCTGCCCTCTCCCTTGTATCGGGTGAAGTTCATTCCTTTTAATAGTTTTTGTTCCCGAAATTTTTATTTCCTAGACGACCTCTTTGTTGATGAGACGAAGACAGGGCTCTGTTAAGTTTTGTGATTGTTGAATGCATAAAGAAAGAAATTTTAATTTCTTATTATCACCTTGCCTTGGCTAATTGTTTATCATAGATGGGGAGTATGGCGACCTTTCTGATGTAAAATTTTAGATGATATGCTGTTTTATTTTTTTTGGATTATGGAGCATCATCTATGATAGATTATCAAAGAATGGAAGGAGATTTGAGGAACCTACCACAAAGCATTTAAATGATTATGGGGAAGAAGGGTTGTGTATTCTCATGCTTGCCTACAAAAAGCTGGATAAGAAAGAGTACTCTGCATGGAATGAAGAGTTTACTAAAGCAAAAGCTTCAATCGATGGTGATAGAGGTGTCATGCTTGAACGTCTATCTGATATAATGGAAAAGGATTTGAGCCTTGGGGTTTGCTCCCTTTCAAGGTCTCAAGTTCGAAACCCACTCGGTGCAAACAATTTCTGAGGGCCATCGGACTGGGTAAAACCTGAATTAACCGTGGTGCACTTGCGGGAAACTCCTTGCCGAGGGCCTGTGCACNGCTTCAATCGATGGTGATAGAGATATCATGCTTGAACGTCTATCTGATATGATGGAAAAGGATTTGATCCTTGTTGGTATTACAGCTGTGGAGGATAAACTACAGAAGGGAGTATGTACTTTATGCTCCTCAAGAATCTGAAGTATATCTTCTCTGATATAGTAGCCGTTTTTTACTATTTCACATCTATACCTTTTCATCAGGTTCCTATACACTGAAGAACTCAAATTGCTTCACTTGTATTAATTCTTGATCAAGGATATCAAGGCAGAGACAATTAGTCATCTCTTTTTGCATTGCAGCTTCACTATACAGATATGGAGGATTTTTATCAGGTTAAGGGGAATTCCATGGGCAATGCCGGGAAGAATCCTTGATATTCTAGCTAGCTGGAATAAAGAGGGCTCACTTTCGAGAGACAAAGAGAGATGGAGAATTGTCCCAGCTTGTATATGGTGGACAGTCTGGGAAGAGAGAAACCAAAGATGCTTTGAAGAGAAATCCAACAACATTCAGAAGATAAAGATGAAATGTTTACTCTTTTTTATTTTTAGTGTAAAGGAAAACTTTTGGAGGATAGTGTATCCATTTTAGATGCCTTAGACTCATTGTAAGAGAACAAGGCAGAAAAGAGCCCTTTTTGTGTAGTTTTGTATGGGCACTTACATTGTAATTATGGGTGACTTCACAATTTTAGTGAAGTCTTTACATGAATATACAAATATGTTACCTTTTCAAAAAAAAAATAACCTCCTCATGTTTATAATATTACCCCATCAGTAACTAGAGTTATTTGTACTACCTTATTTCATTGGTTAAAAGTTATGCATGCTTATACATCTCCCGGAAGNCTCTTTTTTATTTTTAGTGTAAAGGAAAACTTTTGGAGGATAGTGTATCCATTTTAGATGCCTTAGACTCATTGTAAGA